ACACTTGGGAATATCTGTGCCTAAGAAGATTTTGAGAGGGGGGGGGGTAGGCAGGCTTAGAGGCAGCAGAACTTGAAAGCTGTGCTCCACGGAATTCGAGTAAGTTACCACCTTAGCTGCTTATACAAGCTTCTGCTTTTACCATTAGCCACTCATGTGTAGGAATAAGATAACAAGATTGACAAACTATATTTACTTTACATTTATTCTGAGCTCATTGTAAACATGAGTGGTTTTCATTTAATTTCTCTTGCAGACAGGAGAAGGGCTACAGTTGAATGCACAGTTGAGGAAAGGTAAAATCCTGTTTCTTACATGAACACCGGTGACCCTAATATCTGAGAACAGGGGCCAGATTTGTCTGACTGTGATGATACCGTCTCCAGACTTAAGTTTCACACCCTACAAGCTTTTTAAAAAAATACTTTTGTTTTTATAATTGAGGCTTTGGGGACTACTTAGTCTCCTAGTCCTCAGTGAGGGCAATGCCTGGACTCAGGGTACCACCCAGTATTCACTTGTCCTATTTTGAGGGGATTATTAACTGGAAAGAACTATACAGGAGGCTTGTTGAAAACAACTAAGAAACAGCTTTGTCTCTCTGGTATGTGTGGCTTGGTTGTTTTTTGTTTGTTTGTTTCCCTTTTCTCCAGCCCTCTCAGTATTATATTAATACTGGAGAGCTGGGGCCCGAGAAAGCTTAATAGTTATAAAGCAGGTTTCTTATTTGACTGATTCAGATATATAACATGGACCATAAAAGCTTTTAACTTTTTTTTTTTTGCAGGAACAGCATCCCAACTCTACCTATCTTCAAAGTATCTAAAGTCTCTAATCACTAGTGGGACTCCCTGCCTAACCAGCAGATTTCATAACTGCTCTCCCACCAAAATCCAGCAATCCTCAGCTGTCAGTTGTCCAGACGTTGAACGGCAAAACTCCTCCCCCCCCTTTTAACGCTCCAGTCCACGGTTTGAAAGTGATTGGCTGAGGCTTCTGGAGGGTGAAACTGTCCCTCACACTGCCCCACAAAGATATCCCCCGTTTATCCTGTCTACTTTCTTCCATAAACATGAATGGCTGTCACAGATTCTTAAGGAAGAAAGGAAAAGAATCCTAATGTGGATGACCTCATCAGATCTCAGAAGCTAAGCAGGGTCAGCTGTAGTTAGCATTTGGATGGGAGACCACCAAGGAACACCAGGGTCACTATGCAGAGGCAGGCGACGGCAAACCACCTCTGAATGTCTCTAGCCTTGAAAACCATATGGGGTCGCCATAAGTTGGCTGTGACTTGACAGCACTTTACACACACACACACACAGAGCCCTCCTTCACACATTGCCTCCCTTCTCCTCCCACAGAAATGTATTTATTTATGTGCAATTTTTATACATCTGCCTTTCTCCCAAGCATTTTGGGACCAAAGGCAGGTAACAGTATAAAAGCAACTGGATAAAAAAATAATGATCGAAACAACATATATTAAATACATAAAAAACCCTCTAGCACGATATTCCCCTCTGCCCGTGCTCAGGCTGCCCCAAAAGCTTTTTGTACTAACTCTTGCAGCTTTGAGGGAAAGCTAGGAGACTAGAAGCTCCCCTGACCTTTTCCAGGAGGCTGTTTCATAAGCATGGTGCAGCCACTGAAAAAACCTGAGCCCAGATTATTGCAAAACATGCCTTTGTGAATGGTGCTACTGACAGTGCATCTTGCTATCAGTAACCAACTGCCATGTGGAAACTTGATGGGAGAGGCAGTCCATTTTTGAATATATTAGGCCCCTGCCACACGGCAGGGGAAAACTCGCTCAAAGCGCGGCTTCTAAAAGCTGCACCAAAGTTGAGACGCTGCGGCGGGATCCCACGGATCCCCTGAGCCGTGGCGCCTTTTCTCCCCGGCACGATCAGATGCCAGGGAGAAAGCTACGGTGGGAAGGGGAGGCTGGCGAACTGCACATGCTCACACATGCGCAGTTCGGCCAGGGGCCAGGGATGCGCCGGCGCAAGGACACGGCTGGGCTTGGGGCGCACTTCTTGGACGAACCACCAAGGTAGGTGGTTCTGTTTTGGTGCGGGGTTTTGGGTGGAAGGGGCGGATCGGGGATGCAAGCAGCACGATTCCCAGATGTTGCTGTGGGATCGTGCACGTTTGCTGTGTCCCCGTTCCATCCCTCTACCGGCCCAAAACCTCTCGTGTGACCGGGGCCTTATTTTATCTGATGTTTTTAGTTATGCTGCAGTTCCATATCTTCAGAAGCTTTAGAAACTATTTGGTCTTGGGGGCAGGGGGAAGATATTATATATCTGACTATGTATGCCTCAGTCTTGGTTAACATAATCCATTTGATTTGAAATGCTGTGATCTTTAAAGGCTGATGCTGTCAGTGGAAGAGTGAGTGTTGTGTGCATAAGAGCTTGCAAAATCAAGCCAGCTTGCAAACACAAGGACTACATCTGTTAGATGAGGAGACTCTTTGGATGATATACTGAGGGTGGAATTAAAACTGGGCAGATAGAAGATTCTCTCTGAACCACTCCAGAAAATTACATTTGAACAAACTTACAAATGTGGCAAATGGAATGTAATAATTTTAATTTTATCCATTAGAGGATCCCTGTAAGGACAGCACAAGGTCATAGAACAGTCAAGACAGTTTTATTGTTACATGGTTTTGTGTAACAGGGTTTCATCTGCCTTTGGCTGCATTAGAATTAGTTTTTGTTAAAAAAACACGAATTGGCTTGAAGTTGTAAGTAATTTGTTGTCTAAAAGTATTCTGGCTCTTAATTTTAAAATATCCTTTTGAAAAATATCAGCTGAACAGTCTTTTCCCAAAAGCAAATCTTTGCTTGCCTGATGCCTCGGCTCTTTGCAGACTCCAATATTTGACGTATCACACTTGTTCTTGAATATCTGGGCAGAGTCTAGTCTACAGCCTATTAGAGAATATAGGAGGCATTGTTGTCCATCTATTGGTGATGGAATGTGAGCTCCACTCTCAGCCTTGCCTTTGTCCTGTTTTCCCTGCCTGCCTATCCATTTTGTAACCCTAATTTTGTCTAGCAGTCCAAGACCTGCAGCTGTTCATATGCTTTTCTTTTCTTTTTTTTTTGCCTTCGTCAGGACTGGACTTTGGAGCAGATGTTCAGGGGTCCAGCTCACAGCATCAGTCTGGTACCCCCGAAAGCAGTCTATAGCTAGTCCTGCTGAACACAGTGGGGCATTTGTGGAATCAGGTCACACACCATGTGTGTTTGTGGAGATGATGGGATGAGATGAGGCTAGCTTGCTGAATGTTTATTTTATTATTCATATAATACATATAATAATTCATACATATGCTTAAACTGTATGTATGTATGTATGTATGTATGTATGTATGTATAGTTTAAGCATACCTGTAGGGATATATTGATATGGAACTATAGGGGGGACTGCAATACTCCAGGAACTAACAGTGCAGAACAGATTTCAGTGAAACTTGCATCAGAATCCAGGTCTTCCACACAGCAAGAAGAATTCTCTACTGTGCATTCATTGCCACTGTGAATGCAGAGGTATACACACTGGCAATTGGGAGTTTTCTGGACACTTTCTTCTGTCCTTTTTCTGATTTTCCCTTTCCATATGTGTCCTGCAGTCCTGCAGTTGCTTCACACTGATTCTCAGGGATGTGGTCATCACAGCTGCCACGGTGACCCACTGACTCCCCCCCCCCCCCCAAGCATACACTATAGAACTATAATGGCCCTATTGAATTTGAAGCAGATGAGTGGCAATAGGTTGCTGGGGCACTGTAGTGCAATACTAACACACAAATAGTATCCCTCTAGCCATCCTGTGGCTTTCCCACCCCTTTCCTTTCTAGACGATTGGGATAAACACTGTCTCTACCTCTTTCCTTTATATTTTCACAACAAAAGGGGCAGGAGACTTCATTTAAAAAAATGAGAACAGGAAAGTCAGAATAAATAACATTTTAAACAGATAAATAAGTGGTGGTAGAGTGTTACAATGCTATAGAGCTATCATATAATATCAGTCACTCTTTTTCACCTTGTTAAAAGCCCTGTGGTGGTATAGTGGGGAACAGTGCTGGGAAAAAGGCTGACGGTAGGGAAAAGGTGCCAATGTAGGTGGAATTTGTGCAGCAGGAAAACACACAGCATTATTTCCATGTGGTGTGCTAACATGCTGGGATTGAATTCTTTCCGAAAAGATCAGAGTAAAACAGGTTTGCAAAGGAACATATTAGAGACAAGGAAAATCTGGCAAGAGGACAATTACAGCATGATGTTGTCTGCCAGATTCCCCCCCCCCCGAAGTGTTTCAGTTTGGAAGACAACACAAGGAAAATCCTGCATATGGAATGAGCCCAATGGTGAATTTAGACAACTGAGAGATGTACAATAAGAGATGCACATTACTGCCATTCAAATTCTATTATAATTTGGAAATTTGACTGAGATAGGCCTACAAGCATCATTCAGGAAAGATACCCCATTGTTGCAAAATGTTAATGTGTTTGATGAGCTGTTTTAGTAGATTAATAGAGCTAGTGTGGTATAGTGGTTAGAGTGTCAGAGCAGGATCTGGGAGATCCAGGTTCAGATCCCCACAATGCCATGGAAGCTTGCAGGGTGACTTTGGACCAGTCATACCCTCCCAGCCTCACAGGATTGTTTTGATGATAACACAGAGGAAACAAGAACCACTTTGGGTCCCCATTAGAGAGGCAGGCGGGGTATAAATGAAGTAAATAAAATAAAAATAAATAAAATATATTAATGGTGAGGCGGTTGAGGTGTACATCGATATAACATTGTATGTGATTAGCTATTAGGGTAACTTTTGTATTCTTTTCCTTGTTTTTAAAACATCTGCTTGCTGAACAAAAGGTAGTTACTGTATTGCTTCTGATGGTGGTGATGTCTGTCTCTGCCACAGATTAGTTTCAGGTCCAGCCTCTGATTTGAGTTTATTTTTTTCCCTAGATGGTAGGCCAGCTGGAAGCCCAAATAGCTAACCTGAATGAGGCACTCAAGTCTCAGACCACGTCGCAGCAGGAGTTTTTACAAAGGGCCAAGAAAGCAGAAAACAATTTTGGGACACTTCATGATCAACTGATGCGTCTGGAAGGCGAGCTCGTATCCAGGGATGTAGCATGTGATGCTTGGAAGTTGGAGAAACAAAAAGTAATAGCTTCTGTTTGTACGAAGAACACAATGCAAGCTAGAGAGAGAACTGAGTTTAGTGGCCTGAGCAGATTCTACATAAGGGCTTGGGGGGGTAGTGGACATGTTGTCAGTGTGATTGATGCTCAATTCCGACTTGCAACAGAGATTCTGCACAGCACATAGTAATTAGGCGTTGCACCATTGTGAGCTGTAGTTTCTCTTATACACCAGATATGGATTGCATCCCCCCACGCACACGATTCTTATGCCACCATCATGATTCTTTGACCACTTTTTATGGTGCATGCATAGTGCGCCACCATCATGATTCTTTGACCACTTTTTTATTTTATGGTGCATGCATAGTGTGGCTCAAGAATAACATAAGAATGCACCTTAAAAAAGATTTTGCATAGTACTGTTTCAAAATAATGTACTACTTAAATTCTGTGGTAATGCTAATAGCTGTAAGGTACTTTGATTGTGATCATCTACACTAAAAATCCAAAGTAGCTCCCTACAGCTTGCAGGAGTAAGAGAGAGCAAATGCTAATTTAGAGAGCAAAAAAACAAACAAACCTCACTTGCCACTTGTATTGTCCTAATGCAGTAACATGCTTACCTTGCCCTGATCTCCCAAAATAAAAACAACCTCAGTTTTGTTGGTAGCAAGGGCACCAAGGCAGTAAAGCGCAAAAGAAGGGAACAAAGGAGGTGTTTCTTTCATTCATGACCTTCCATTCCAGACGTAAGAAAAATACTGTCCCAACAATGCCATGCAGGGAAAGATTTTTTTCAGGTTAAAAAGTAGACTTTTTAGTGGAAAGAAAATAGGGTTAGGGTTCGTGATTTGGACAGGAATGGAGGAGGATGTCATGTGTGTGGGGGGGAAGGCGCACAACTGGAGTTGCTGACATGTTGATGAACACATTAATACAAGCATGCTTTCTTACACAAGTAGCACTTTCAGTAGGTTTGGGATGGTGGCTTGATCATTAGTCCGGATGGCTCATTAGGGTGACCACTCGTTATGCCAGCATGCTGAAGTGCATACGTTACTGCAGCATCGGGAATCTAAAGAGCTTCATGGTGTAGGCTTTGTGTTTTGAATTTGGTCAGAGAAAAAGAACACTGAGTGAAGACATTAAGAGGTTTCTGGCTGCCTGTCTTGAAGATGAACGGGATGCCATATTTTGGGAGTAGCTCTGCCTGTAGATGTATTCCTTAAAAATTTAGCCCTCATCTTGGAGGCATTCATTTTATGCTCATTGGCAATGAGAGTACAGCATTGACTCCCTCTCTCTGCCAGTATATACAAAAAGGCATCATCTCAAAGAAGAAGGTACTGAAATTTCTTGATGCAGCTACAGCTAGCAGACAGGGAGGAATCCTTGAACTGCTATTGTTGCCTTTTCATGGGCCCATTCTGCATCTAGCATCCACTCTGTTGTTTTACCAAACCCACACGGGAACAGAAAAAGATGCGGCTCAAACCCACATTCAGATATCCCAGGCCAACACCAACTGTTGTGTACCAACTTAGACTGTGCATGTGGTCGCTCTGCACTCATGGTCAGCTAGGTAACCAGAGCTTCAATCTCAGAGACAATGGGCACCTAGGATCCTAGGAACAGCCTATTGTCAGCTGTGCTGCCATGGGGGTTGGGGAGTTCATTCTGTGTCTTGTTAATTGCTATTGCGTTCCTATCCCTGCTGTTATGCCTTTGCTGAAATGCTTATCTCTGCAGATGTGCAGGAGGAGGTTGTGTTGTCTGGAGAGCTCCTATGTACCGTGAGAGACTCCGAGTTCTCAGCTTTAGCCACCTAACGGTTGCCTGACTTATCCCACACGCGGGAGGGTGCCTAATTGGCCAATGCCGGGGGGGGGGCATACGAATACCCTATATCCTATTATACTCTACTGGCTGTGGCCATTCTTAACAGTGCCTGTGTTACTGCATCTATAGCTTTGCAGTAAAAGTATAACCGTTCCTGAATGCGTGTACTTCGTTGTTAGCTGTGGGTTCTGACACCTATTGGCTGACCAGGATCCTCAAGGAACCCTATCAGGTGTAGGATTATACAAATAGCCAATCACGGGTGTATGGGTGTGTGTGGGTGGAGTTGTTGTGGTGCATTTAAGTATGAGCTGAAAATCACTCAATAATGCGTCAGTCTCAGTACTTTTCACCAACCTATGCAGACAGTACCATAAAACTGAGAGATCAAAGGTAGTGAAACCGGCATGCCGTGTGGAGGCTACCGTAAAATCTGACAAAGAAAGTGAAAGTGGCATGCAACACAGAGGGGAATTTCCGTTCCAATGTGGGTTTGGTAAAACAGTGGAGCAAATGCTGGATGCAGAATGAGCCATGATCTCTGAAAGACTGGGCCGCACACAGTGCAAAATGTCAGAAATCAACAGTAATTGGCCTGTGTTACAGATCCAAGGAGGATGCTTGCCCACTCTTCTGAGAAGTGACAGGAAAAAATATGCATCTTTTGGGAGGGCAAGTCTAAGTGTGTCTCCATAACAGACCTGCATACCTGAGGGACCGCCTTTCTCCACATGTTCCCCAGAGAGCACTGCGTTCAGGGTCTCAACATTGTCCAGTCCACCTTGGACCCAAAGATGCCAGGCTGGCCATGACTAGGGCCAGGGCCTTTTCAGTGGCAGCACCGCACTGGGGGAACGAGCTCCCAGAAGACGTTAGGGCCTTGCAGGACCTCTTACAGTTCCACAGGGCCTGCAAGATGGAGCTCTTCCACCAGGCTTTCAACCAAGGAGCTGTCTAAAATTTAAAAACTTAATACTGGCCAAGGCCCTGTCCTCTGAAACCATCACTGGCAGCCTGTGCTACGCTGGCATACATGGATTGAAGCAATGGCTTTAACATCAATGGTGACTATACTCTATATGCTGGCATACATGGACTGAAGCAATGGCTTTAACATCAATGATGACTATACTCTATGATTGATCTGCCACTATGTTCTGCCATCGTATGCAATACTGATTGATACTAAGACATTATGAACTGGTTTTAATTTTACAATTTTTATAATTTTGTCTTATGTAGCTTAATTTCTATGTAAGCCGCCCTGGGCCTGCTTTGGCAGGGAGGGTGGGGTATAAATCGAACAAACAAATAAATAATCCAGGAACACACTAACTGTGTTCACAGGTTACAGTTTGCCTGTAGGGACTTATAGTTTTGGCAACTTGAATGGCGGGCATGCTCCTTCGGATCTCCAAGAAGAGCGGCCCGTAACACAGCGGTAGGGAAGAGTGCTGGATGATTTTGGACCCCCCCCGAGCTCTTGCAGGGGGCTCCCAACCTGGGGCGTGAGGAGTGCCTAACCCACCGCCACGGCACCATCATGGCTACGAGAGGCGCACACCGATAGATCAAGCAAAAGATCCAGCGTGTATGAAAAGTTTTCAGACAGAAGATGATGACAACGTATATGGATTGGGAACTACTACCGACTTATTGAGCATTTCTTCTGAAGAAGGTTCAGAATTGGACTTAGGAGAAGCCGCCCCAAAATTTCTAAATGCAAAGGAAAGAAGAACAATAAGAAATAAATGTAGATGTTGAAAGTTTAACACGGTTAATCGTAAAATGCCTTAATCCACTTATTTGAACTAAGAGTATACACAATGTTTGTACTCAATCATATTGAAATAGTTAGTTTAACCTTCATCTGTATTTTTAAATAGATAGGGAAATTTTGTAATGAACCACTTTATTGTATCAGATCTTTGTTAGCTTTCTAGTTTTAGTTGATTTCCATTGTCCCATCCCTGTAGGCCAGTGATGGCGAACCTTTTAGAGACTGAGTGCCCAAACTGCAACCCAAAACCCACTTATTTATCGCAAAGTGCCAACACGGCAATTTAACCTGAATACTGAGGTTTTACTTTAGAAAAAACAACTCATACATTAACTTAAGATGATCCAAACAAAGTAAGGAAAGCAATCCCAAATGCTTTCATTTACTTAAAATTATTTGGCAGAGAATTCAACACTTTAATGATGGTCTGGGCCTGGCTGGGGCAATGGCACGCGTGCCCACAGAGTGGGCTCTGAGTGCCACCTCTGGCACCCGTGCCATAGGTTCGCCACCACTGCTGTAGGCTCTAGTGGGGGGGGGAAAATCTTGCCTGTACATGCATACAGCTATTTGTAAGGATGAGCTAACATGCCTGCACTTTACAAATTAAATTGGAGACCAGTACCTGGATAAATGTGGGGTTTCAATTACACATTGAGCTGTACCTGTGTTGAATGTAAGATGAGAATAATTCAATGCATATATAAATAAAAATAGAGTGTACACTGTACACAGATTGTATGTGCACTCATATTGTGCCCTAAACATTTTTTTAAAAAAGTTGGGGAATCACTGCTCTCGCCACTGTGTCACTCTGGCACTGGCACAGAGAAGCAACAAGCTGGCATAGCTGTGGTCAGTTTAAAGAGCCAGCCTGACCAGTAATCCAGAGTACATCACTTGCTGTGCTCTTCCTTCCTTCCTAATTGCAAATGATCCTGCACATTAAAAAGTGGTTACTAAATCACCAGTTGCCCCAATCCAGTAAATAGCTGTGCTTTTGCATCTGATACTGCTAGTAGCTTCTTGATTCATGTGTCCCCTGTGGCAGCTGTTTCTTCAGTACTTATCTTTCTATATTTGTTGCCTTGTAGTTGATTTGCTTGTGGGTCACAGGGCCCCTTCTAACTGACCTTGGCCCCAGTTTCAAAAAGCCCAGCTGTGTGCAGAGAATATAGAATATAGTTGCTTTTTGAATTCCTCCCCATGCTTGAGAGATGCCTGTCTGCAGAAGATAAATTGGCTGAATGAATCACACTCCTAAAAACAATCCACTTCTTCTACCTGCTGCTATGTTTATGTGGCTCTGTCTCAGTGAGGGAATAAAAATGGTCCTACCTAAGAACATAAGAGAAGCCAATGTTGGATCAGGCCACTGGCCCATCCACTCCAACACTCTGTCACACAGTGGTCAAAAATACCAGGTGCCATCAGGAGGTCCAGCAGTGGGGCCAGGATTTATGATATCTGTAATTGATTGAGCACCATTGTTTTTAAGTGTTGGATGTTCTTATTATGTTTTATATGTTTTAATTATGGCACGGCTAATTACCTTGCCCTTGTTAGCTGCCCTGAGCCCATTGGGGAGGGCGGGATACAAATGTGAAAAATAAATAAATAGAAGCCCTCCCACTGTTACCCCCCCCAGCACCAAGAATACAGAGCATCACTTGCCGCAGACTGAGAGTTCCTATCTATACCTTGCGGCTAATAGCCACTGATGGACCTCTGCTCCATATGTTTATCTAATTTCCTCTTGAAGCCGTCCATGTTTATAGCCGCCACCATCTCCTGTGGCAGTGAACTCTATTTGTTAATCACTCTGTGGGTGATGAAGTAAAATTAAAAATTTAATTGCCTAATTAAAAAATGTAAAAAGTTTTTAGTTACCTAATTGAAAACTTGCCAGCAGATGCATAAGAAACACAGTTTGTTTTTTGTGCTTTTGTAACATGCATGATGGCAATTCACTGATGGAGTGGTATGATGCCAGTTGTTTGGGGAAAGAATGTCAGTACAGAATTTAGAGGTGGTTTTGATAGATCATTTAGTATAGCCTCAAAGAAAAGTGTCTATATGTGATTGTTAAAAGATCAGTTCTTGAAACAGGATCCTGATCTAGATCATGTGTCTGTGCTAGAAGGTGCGTGTCAAAATACGTTAGTCCTAAAAGACAGGGCAGGTATTTCTCTCCTGGTAAATTTCTGTAAGAAAAAGAAATGAGGCTTCATTTCAGTGCAGAAGAAGGCAGTTATGACCTCTAATGTACTAGATGACCTTTTGTTGTCTCTTCCCACTTCTTCCCACATTTTCCCTCTGAAGTATCTTAAGTTTTTGGATCAGCTTTCTGAAAAGATGAATCTGGACAGGGTGGCGGCTGATATTGGGTTTGACATGAGGCTGGATGCAGTACTGGCCCGGACTGAGCAATTGATCAGATTGGAAGGAGACACATTGACTGAAAATAAAATCATGGCACGCAATCTGCAAAGGAAGGTAAGCAAAGTGGAGCAGGATTAGAAAATTATTACTTTCAATTTAAAGTTCTTTTTTTTTTGGTGAGTATTTTGTGTGTATGCCTGGAAGTCATGGTTAACTTCTGGCAACCCCTAGTGGGGCTTGGACGTTTCAGAGAGGTAGCTTGCTATTGCCTGCCTCTGTGTCCCGGCCCCGGTATTCCTTGGAGGTCTCCCTTCCAAGTACTTGCCAGGATCATCCCTGCTTAGCAGCTTCCAAGATCTGACAAGATCGGGCTTGCCTGGACTATCCAGGCCAGGGCCTAGACTAAAGTTCTGTCTTTAAAGCTTTCACATTTAGAAGAAGAAGAAGAAGAGATTGGATTTATACCCCACCCTTCACTACCCAAAGGAGTCTCAGAATAGCTTACAGACTCCTTTCCCTTCCCTTCCCCACAACAGACACCCTGTGAGGTAGGTGGGGCTGAGAGAGCTCTGACAGAAACTGCTGTTTTTCAAGAACAGCTCTTATCAGAACTATGGCTTGCCCAAGGTCATCCAGCAGGTGCAAGTGTAGGAGTGGGGAATCAAACTCGGTTCTCCCAGATTAGAGTCCACACACTTAACCACTACGCCAAACTGGCTCTTAATGAGGGTGAAGTTGTGTGTATAACCCTTTGTACTCTTAAATGTAGTTGAAAATTCAAAAAGAGAAGCTTGACAGCAAAGAGCTCCATGTGAAACTTTTGCATCAGAAGATAATTCAGCTGGAAGAAGAGAAGCAAGTACGCACAGCCCTGGCGGTGGAAAGAGATGAGGCCAACCTTACAGTTAGAAAGTTACAAAAGAAGCTGGAGAGGTTGCAGCAAGAACTTGTCTTGGCAAGAGAAACAAACACTGATCTGAAAACAAAATTGGCTGATGCCAATGAACTGAAGGTGGGTAACAAATCTCTCTTTCAACCAATGCGTGAAAGATGATTCCATATAAGCAGACAATTCAGCAGTGTGAAATATATTACAATACACACATACAAAAATACCCAGTTTACAATGATTAGAGAACAAAGCAATGCTAAGAAACATGCAATCTACAGATTGCTTGGAATACCTATACCAGGGCTGAGTGGTTATCTAGTGGGTTTTTGGGCAGATATGAGATTTGAACTAGGGGCCTCCTGGCTCATTCTCTTAGCCAGCAGACTACATTGGCTCAGTGGGCCACTAAAGCTGTGTTTGCTATGCTGTGCCGTGGGAGTGTGTGTGCTGTCATCATGTACCTGTCTCAATATGGAATTATTTATGTTTAAAGACAGAGATCACAAATCCCTGCTGAAGAAAAGTTAGCTAATCCAATTTAACATAACTTGGGCAAACTGCATAATATGTGAATATACTGTACAAGGGGAGACCCACAAGAAAGTTACGGGGAGGAGGCATTTCCCCCACCTTTGCTTCCCTCTCCCCCGTTCTCTGTCAGAGTTCCCACCTGTCTTTCTGCACCCCCCCCTTATCTATCAATCTTCCCTTACCTGCCCCTCTCACCTCTTCTATGTTAGCTTTCCTCCCTACCCCCTTCTCTAGGAATTCTTTCTCACCCCCTTTCTCCACTCACCTCTTGAATGTCTCACCCCTTTCTTACCCCAGCCCTTCTCAGACAATGTCGTATTTCCTCCACCCCTTCTCAGTCTGCCCCTCCCCCCTCTCATACACAACGTCCCCCTCTTCGGCCTCCTTTTCTGCAGCTTCCTGGTTTTTCTGGCAGTGGGGAGGCCGCTTTCCTGGGAGGGATCTGGCGGCGGTGTCCTCTGACCCACGGCTCCTGGGCTGCTTTCCTGGTGGTGGGGAGGCCAACTGCCTCGAAAGGACCTGGCGATGTTGGCATCCCTTGCCCTGTTACTCCAAGGCTGTCTTGCTGGTCGTGGGGAGGCTGGCCACTGAGTGAAGCTCCAAGTCCGGCGCAAGGAACCACGAGTTCGGACTGCGCAAGTGCATACAACTCAGTTTTTTTATTTGGGGGGGTTTTAACCCCCCTGTGTATTTTTTTAACTTTTTGCATTTTTCTGCAACCTTGGAGAGTACTTCAAGTGTGCACAAAAACCTCTTTAGCCTCCAGGTGCCCTTGTTCTGCGGAAATAAGTATCCGCACGCAGAGGAACCCTTGGCTATTAGATATATAGATGTCTTAATGAAAGAAACAATGTTTTGAATAAATAAATATCAGAGCCTGATTGCTGATATTTTTAAAAAACCTTCTGATGGGCAGTTGAGAAGGAGAAGCAGCAAATGGCAGGTGCTTAACTCTTTCACCTCTTTTTAAACAATGCATACATGCATTTTAAACCTCATCAGGGAGGGGGAGCTGTTTGGGGGAAGATCTGGAAGGAAAAGGGTTCAGCACCTCTTCCTCCTGCTTTTCTCCACTCTGTCACACCTCAGAAGCCACTTTTCTCAACTCTTACACACAGATTTGCAAATCAGACATAGTCAGTCTCATATGGTAATTGACAACTGTATGCAAACTAGTGCTCCTTTGCTGGACTTTTTCAAGCGGAGGCTGGACGACCATCTTTCGGGTATGTTGTAGGTATGTAGGGCTATCTTTCAGCTATGCTCCTGCAGAGTGCAGGGGGTTGGACTAGATAACCTGTAAGGTCCCTTCCAACTCTTAACATTCTATGATCCTATGATTCTGTGTGGATTTCTAACCAACCATGCAATTTGCATGAGAGACACAGTCAACCACAACATTTGCGTTTCTGCTATGCCAGAGTCAACAATAGGCAAGGCTGATCAAAGATGTTCCGTAAAAGGCAGATAATCCAAGTGGCGCTTCATCACCCATGGGCTGAGGTGGGCCGTCTCACTTCGCCTACTGGGACAGCTGGCCCTGGCATGGCATTGCCCCTTGTCCCTTATTCTGCCCAAAGCCAAATGGAGCTGTAGTCCAGGCAGAACCTTGGTATGATGATTTGCAGCATATCAGACATCCCATGGTTTTCTTGTCCTTTCTTCCTGTTTCATTATTTATAGTTACTGTCATCGAAGAGTTACACTACTTTGTCCCGGGAAATGATTTTCTTTAATCTATTTTGACATCAAGCCTGCAGCTTCCTGTTCAGTACAGTGGAGACTGCAGGTGACAATTTAGCATCTGTCTTTTATTTTTTATTCTCACAAATAGTGGAGACGTTTCCTGGTGGGCTGCTGCCCTGTGGGGGCCACTGGCAGCCAGGAACTAGCCGAACCAATCTTCAGCAATTCTGCCAGCACTTTAGGGGCCACTTGGCTTAGACCCTTCCGTAGCCTGCTCTGTCACGGCTGCCAGTTTGTGGGAAGGGGCACTGAGGAAGCCAGTGCTGATAACTGACACCGCTGAGTAGCACCTGCAGAGCTGGCAGGTAAAGCTGCAGGGCCTCTGCTCAGCCTTGTCTTGCCCTGGGGCCATTTCAGCTCCCCAGTTTGCTACGACTGCCATGCATGGGACTTCATTTTTGTAATAGTTCTTCCGTCTCGTTAGTAGTATGATGGCTGTCTTCACAGATCAGGAACAGCAACACATCTTGTGTGGCTCCTTAATCAGATGCCAAGCAACAAACCCAGATGCCGACTCTGCCTCCTTATCAACTCAGGCAACGCTAAGATAGTAATAAAAACTTCATCATCAAGGGCTCATTTACCTGCTCGCCCTCCAGTGTGATGGATGTGATTGTCAGTAATGCCCTGTTGTCATTTACAAGGGTCAAACGGTCTCTCTGCAAAAAGAATGAATGAATAAATGTGATATAAAAACTGACAATGTTCAGAAGTCAGTAGGAGACCATTTCAGTCATCAGTCTGCTGCTGACCTAAAAGCTACTATGCTTCAATTAAAAACAAAACAAAACTAAAAAGAGCTACTAGCATAAATTATCACAAAGTGTGATTCTATTCGTATAGGGCCTTAAACTGGAACAAGGGGTTTCTTTCCAACTACAGGTATGAAATTAGCATAACAATGCTGGGAAGTCTGACTTATCAGTTACTGTGTGAAAGGTAACTGTTCTTATATTAAATCAGAATCTGTGTAATACCTTTTATTAAGACCACACAAAATAATATATTTTTGGAGCAAACCTATCTGAAGGTGCCACCCTTCAAATGGGTAAGATCTGTAGCTGCCTGTACATGTGCATTCTCTGTTGTGGACCCCACCTTGTGGAAGGGCCTTCCTGAGGAGGTCAGGAGGGCCCTCACGATTCTATCATTCCCACTAACTGTGCAAAACTGCATTGTTCAGTAGCGCATTTTTATAATGGTGATAGAGCTATAGTCTTAACTGAATGGGTCATGAAGACACTTCTGCAAAGTAAACTGGACTGTAGTCTGTGCCACCATGTATGATAACTGTTATCCATTTGTTGTATGTATATTACTTACTGTGTAAATGAAGTAAATAAATAAAGTTGTGCAAGTTTCCAAGTTCTCCATAACTCTTGAGTATTTTTGAACTTGGCCATAGAGTTTCCAGCCCAAGGCTCATCTGAGGGAGGGGGATCTCAGTGGTGCAACTTGGAAGTGACATCAGTGTGTTGGTGGCAACTTGCTAGCATTTACCCAAAACACTTTCTACGCCAGAGCACTGCCTGACATGAGGGTGTCACTTATGGCTTGCACCAGAAGTGACATCATGGCATCAGTGCCAGTGCTGATTCCCCCCTGCCTCCACTCCCCTGGGAATTTTTCTCCCACTGCCCAGTTGAACAGCATTAGGAAGAGCAAACAAGGAGTGGGAGCTGAAGTAGGAGACCTGGCACCCCTCGTTTGCATACAGTTGTCAAAGGCTGTATTTCTTGAATTGCATGGCCTTTTGGCCTTGTTGTTTAAAAATATTTTTCCTCCTCTCTGTACTTGTGTGTGCTTGTGTATGTGTGTTTGTGTGTGTGTGCGCGCACTTACTGAGGATAACACTGCCTGTATCTGACAGAACTGGCTCTAGTCCATTAATGTCCACAGTATGTCTTTTTCTCCTTCAGGTGTCACAAGATTCTTTGTTATTTTCTGTGTGGAGATTTTTTGTCTTTGTTTCCGTTAACAGATCAGAACACTGGAGCAGGACAAAACCATAGATGACCTGAGCAAGTCCCAAGAGAAGCTGGAAAAGATTAAGACAAAGACTGAGAAGCAGCTAATCGCAGTGAAGTCAGAGTTACATGTTGTAGAGCGAGAAGCAAAGGAGGATAAAGAGCGAGCTAAAAACATCCTGGAATCTGTTACCAGTGAATCGAAAACCCTTAAAACTACTCTAGAGGAAGTAATGAAGAGGGAGAGACAGGTATGTGTCGGTATGACTGATGTGACACCTGGCCAAGAGCGAGTTCGTATTACTTGATATCTTTTTAGGTAATCTATACAAAAATTTTTTTTTTCTGTTCCTGAGTCTTGGAAACAGCCTGGTAGGGAAATAGAATATTGACTGAGGGTTTCTATGTCCACTTGGGGAAAAAACAACCTGTTCCGTTCCAAATCAAGGGAGTGAGTCAGAATGGCACCCAAGCCCATAACTCCGGGCAATCTGGGCAAGGGGGCGCATATAGATGTTAAATAGCATCAGGGACAGCACCGCTCCCTGAGGTACCCCACAATCAAGGGGATACCTATGGGATCGCCGGTCCCCAACTGCCACCCTTTGTCCCCAACCTTGTAGGAAAGAGGCAAACCACTGAAGGGCAAGCCCCTGAATCCCCACGTCAGCGAGGCTGTGGGACAGCAGTTGATGGTCGACCGTATCGAACGCGGCCGGCAGATCTAACAACAACAGTGCTGCCACCACCACCCCTCGATCCAGATGCCTTCGGAGATCATCAGTCAGGGCAACTAAGGCCGTCTCAGTCCTATGACCAGGGTGGAAACCGGACTGGAAGGGATCTAAGACTGAAGCGTCCTCCAGAAAGCTCTGTAGCTGTAACACCACCGCCCTCTCGATAAGTTTGCCAAAATAGGGAAAATTGGACACCGGCCGATAATTACCCAATTTGGCTGGGTCCAAAGATGGTTTTTTAAAGAGAGGGCGGACCATCGCCTCCTTGAGCGCACTCGGGAACTGTCCCTCAGAGAGGGACTTGTTGATAATCTCCCACAGTGCGCCTCGTAGCCCCTCATGATCGATAGACCAACATCGATAGACCACTATTAAGATTCCTATACAATATTTTGGGAATTTCTCAATGTGTGTCTGGAATAGCTCTGAGAGCCGAAGTTGGGGAGACTTCCTTTGAAGCAATGGTCTGGGGCAGAATAATCAATCTGAAAATTAGGATCCTAAAATCAAACCCAGCATCAAGCCTCCTTGGACTAGTCAAGATGGACCATCACACAAGTGATTGGGACAGATTACTGGACCATAAATGATCATGTTTAGGCATTACCCATGAAGTGATAAAAACAATGAGTAGAGAGGAATTGACCCAGCTCATTAGAAGACATCTGAGGGAATTTGGTTATGAAAGTACGTTGATTAGAGCCTGCAGAATGTGTTCATCATTCTTAATAGGCATTCTCCCTTCAACAAAAATGCCGAACTCTCTATCTGAACTAAAGGATAGAAGACCATTCATGCTCATGTGCCTGAATGCCCTACCTTCAGCAGTGAAGTTAGGAAGATTCAATGGAATTCCATATTCAGATAGACTCTGTAATTGTGGCAACAACAAAATCAATTCTGTGGATTGATTATTTTATAGTCGTTGCTCAATGACACTAGTGCCACACTGATTAATACAAGTGAAGTCCCCCTTGGTGTTGACCTGGGGGCAATCATTAACAATTGAGAGCCCATTGTTAGTAATTAAAGCAGCTAATTTCTTCCCAGCACTGTTGATCTTAACGTCTTTAGATATTCTTGGCTCCAGAAAAAAGGTATTTATTGACTGATCTTTAAAACTTTTAAAGAAAAGTTCTCATAAGCTGCACCAGTCCAAGCATTAAAGTCACCAGCCATCATGAGCGGAACTGACAGGTACATATCTCCAACTTTCTGGATACAGATGTTAAATTTACCCCAATAATGCACCAGTGCTGATTTATGCATAGCTGGAGGGATATGGCATTAATCAAAATAAAAGAAACATTTTGTAATTGCAAGAGTAAAGCCATCACATAAGGCAAATCACTCAGTAACACTGTGACACTGACCAATAAACCAGTAGAGATCAAACAGGCAATTCCTGTAGAGGGGTGGCCTAGTTTCATTTTTTTAAAGCCTCAAAAGAATAAGTGGTGAAGCCTCAAAGGTGGACTTTGCTAAGCTGCCAGGTTTCTTGAAGCAGAACTATATTATAGTTGACTAGAAATTTCCTAGTTTCTTGGGATCCTACTCAATTCTCCATTCATCATGTTCCAAGAGAGGATTTTCAGTTTCCATTTGCTGACACTGAGTCAATCCTTCTCAAACAGAATAACATCATCAGGATCTAGCCCACAGGCTTCAGATGAAGACTGAGGAATCTTGGCCTGCTCCCTTAATTAATATTGCCCAAATGGGCTCAAGCTACCATTCCCCTTCAGTATTGGTAGTGTTAAAAGGCATGCTGTTTTGGAGTGGTTCATCAAAGGTTCGTTCTCAGAAGGTGGCAGGTCCTTTATATGGGCCTGCTCAGCGCTTTTAATCCAGAGTGATTGATTTTCCTATATCAGAGCATGGGTAAGAGATTGTAAACTGGTTAACATTTTATCTTGTTCCTGGAAGGACAAAACTCCCCAAAAGAGGCAATTAGATTCTCTTGAAAAGAATCATGCTTAAAATGATCTCTCAAGGAGAGAGGACTATTTCACTGATTCTATACTACATTATTAGCCAGTTTCGTCCTCTTTTCTGCAAAGGGAGATCAATAATTCATTCTCAATTAAAGACTGAGATGGAAAATGGACAGTTCTATTTGAAAAGATGCCAACTATGCTGTTAGACTCTGCTTTTCTCTTCTGAGCCAGGCCCTTAACAAGTGGAATTCATACCTTTTGAAGATGTGGGAAGGCTCCATATTTTTTAAGAAGTTTCTGGTTGGTAAGAATGAGTGAGGGAATTCTTGGGGAGAAGAAGTGTAATTTAAATCTTTCATCCTTGATAAATCCTGAAACTCTTTCCACATATTTCAGATCAATTGATGAAAAATGTCTTTGTAGCAAAAAACAAAGATGTTCCTTGGCTGCATGCTTTGTTGACCAGTTGATCATGCAGCCTTGATAAGGGAAGCAATTGTATTATGTTCCAAGATCAGGGGTGGAGAGATGTGTGAAGTTTCTCTTATGAACTCCATCCACCCTTGCCCCCTCTTTCACCTCAGTCGACCCTTTACCAATAAAGTTAACATAAGAACATAAGAGAAGCCAATGTTGGATCAGGCCTATGGCCCATCTAGCCCAACACTCTGTCACACAGTAGCCAAAAATACCAGGTGCCCTCAGGAGGTCCAACAGTGGGGTCAGGACACTGGAAGCCTGCCCACTGTTGCCTCCCCCCAAGCACCAAGAATACAGTGCATCACTTGCCCCACCCGGAAGGTTCCTATCTATACCTTGTGGCTAATAGCCACTGATGGACTTCTGCTCCATATGCTTATCTAATTCCCTCTTGAAGCTGTCCATGTTATGTAAAGATAAAGATGGCAATTATAGTTTTAAGGACCTTTTGACTTCAGGGTCTGAGCAGTTCTTTCCTCTTGGTTCCACTTGTGGGGTAACTTCAAGGAAGTAAAATCATCTTCCAATTTCTTACAAGATGATTATATTAGATGTCTTTCTATAGTCAAAGTGGCCCATGGGCAAGGCAGCTCCTGGATCTGATGTTCCAACAGCAAAGTTTTGAGATAGAACAGTCTATACAGTAAAGAACTTATGGAACAGAAGTTTCTGGTCTTCTGTATGGATATAAGTGCTTCTGAGTTTAAAGGCAGCAATATAGTAGCATGCATGGACATATTTTCCAAAACTTGTCATTATTTTAGAAACAAAAACAATATAACTTGTTAAATCAAATGTCATCGATGTTAAGAATACCAAACTAAAGAGCACACAATAATTGTAAGCATTTGGAATATGACCTTTAGAATACAATGAACCACAAACAAAGATCTGAACATATTTTGACATTGATTCAGGTCATGCAGTGAAGTGTATAATATTTAACATGTGACTGCAATTTAAATCACACAAAACACCAGGGTTTTTTCCCCCACAAAGCAAACACTTTCAGAAACCTTCTTTTCAGGTTGAGGAGTAAATTAAACCTAAACTGACCAACTGTTTAGAAATAGTATTGTGTAGTTTGACTTGTGGTACTTAGAAATGACTTGCAGTACTAACACTGGATGTCAGCTCAACATTACCTTAAGAACATAAGAGACGCCAATGTTGGATCAGGCCAAAGGCCCATCCAGTCCAACACTCTGTGTCACACAGTGGCCAGAAATACCAGTGCCATCAGGAGGTCCAGCAGTGGGGCCAGGACATTAGAAGCCCTCCCACTGTTGACCCCCCCAAGCACCAAGAAGACAGAGCATCACTTGCCCCAGAGCCCCTATCTATACCTTGTGGCTAATATCCACTGATGGACCTCTGCTCCATATGCTTATCTAATTCCCTTTTGAAGCCGTCCATGCTTGTAGCCTCCACCACTTCCTGTGGCAGTGAATTCCATGTGTTAATCACTCTTTGGGTGAAGAAGTACTTCCTTTTATCCGTTCTAACCCGACCGCTCT